TACAAAGACAAGTGTGTCTTGCCTACAGTCAAGCATGGTGGTGGGAGTGTCATGGTCAGGGGCTGAGTGCTGCCGGCACCGGGGAGCTACAGGTCATTGAGGGAACCATCAATGTAGAAGAGGACTCCAGTGGCAACCTGTGAAGCTCTGGTGAACTCCATGCCCAAGAGGGTTAAGGCAGTGCTGGAAAATAATGGTGGCCACACAAAATATTGACACTTAGGGCCCAATTTGGACATTTTCACTTAGGGGTGTACTCACTTTTGTGGCCAGCGGTTTAGACATTAATGGCTGTGTGTTGAGTTATTTTGAGGGGACAGAACATTTACACTCGGTTTAGACAGTAATGGCTGTGTGTTGAGTTGTTTTGAGGGGACAGCAAATGTACACTGTTATACAAGCTGTACACTCACTACTTTACATTGTAGCAAAGTGTCATTTCTTCAGTGTTGTCACATGAAAATATATAATAAAATATTTACAAAAATGTGAGAGGTGCACTCACTTCTGTGAGATACTGTGTATATATATATATATATACACACACACATACATACAAATATATTTATTTATTTATTTATATATACATATATATACACACATACATATATACACATACATACACACATACATATATACAACAAACATATATATATATATATACAGGTGCATCTAAATAAATTAGAATGTCATGGAAAAGTTCATTTATTTCAGTAATTCAACTCAAATTTTGAAACTCGTGTATTAAATAAATTCAGTGCACACAGACTGAAGTAGTTTAAGTCTTTGGTTCTTTTAATTGTGATGATTTTGGCTCACATTTAACAAAAACCCACCAATTCAGTATCTTGATTAAAAGGAAATAATCAAAATACTGTCTTTAATTGATTTTTCCGTACATTTCTGCCATATGTACATTAACTGACAGTCACTACTGATAAGCTACCACTAAATATTGTCGAAACTTAATTTGCTGTAAAGTTGCTTTGCAACGATTTGTATCATGAAAAGCGCTATACAAATAAACTTGAATTGAATTGAATTATAATGCTATTTTAACTGACGCTGTACAGAACTAAGGTAGCCAGTGCAGAGAATGTAAAATTGGGGGTAATATGATCTTTTTTTTTTTGACCTGGTAAGGACTCTAGCAGCAGCATTTATGTAGCATGTAGCTTGTTTATTCAAGATGCAGGACAACCACCTAGCAGTGCATTGCAATAGTCCAGTCTAGAGGTCATGAATGCATGAACTAGCTTTTCTGCATCAGAAACCGGTAGCGTGTTCCGTAACTTGGTAATGTTTCTAAGATAAAATAATGCTGTTTTGTAACATGGGAAATATTATTTTCAAAAGTCAAATTGCTGTCTAATATAACACCCACATTTTTGACTGTAGAGGAAGTACCAGTACATCAGTCTAGATGCAAATTGTAATCGACGAGATTCTGTGTACTGTTTTTTAGGATAATAGGATAAATAATTTAAATAGGATAAAATTATTGGTCATCCAGTCTTTTGCTTTTTTAACACACTCAGTTAGCTTAGATAATTTTGAAGTTTCATCTGGTCTTGTTGAAATATATAGTTGAGTATCATCAGTATAACAATGGAAACTAATCTTGTATTTTCTAATAATATTACAAAGGGGCAACATGTATATTGAAAATAGCAGAGGGTGTAGGACAGATCCTTATGGCACTCCATACTTTACTGGATTTAATTGAGATGATTCCCTGTTTAAATAGACAAAGTGATAGCGATTGGAAAGGTAGGATCTAAACCATCTTAAACCCTGCCATTGAATACCTGTATAGTTTTGTAATCGATCTGTGAGTATGTCATGATCTATAGCAGTGATCCTCAAATCTGGCTCTCGAGATCCACTTTCCTGCAGAGTTTAGCTCTATGATGGGGCCTGAAACCCGACTGCAATTCTTCATAGATATCATTTCTTTTGCAGGAAGGAGCACAATCGAGCAGACACAACTTTTTCTAAAGTTTTAGACAATATTACTGTATGTGTGTGTATTTATATATACATATTAAATATACACAGTACACATTGTTACGATGATCGGCTGGTGTGCCCTGGATGTCCACTAGAGGGCACTCCATCCTGTTTCTGCCTCACGAACTACATGTCCCAATATCCTTTGCCATATCTGATTGTCCACAGCTGTTTTCCATTATCTCATTGCCTCTGCCTTTATAAGCCTGGTGTTTTCAGTCTCTCTTTGTCAAGTCTTGCGTTGTCATACTGCGTCTCCTAGTTCTGGTATCCTGGTTCTATTTGTTTTTTTGTTATAACCTTTGCCTGTTATCTCGACTATGATTGTGGATTACCCTTTAATAAACAACTGCACTTGGATCCTCAGCTTCGTGTTCCCAAGCAGTTCATGACACACACACATATATAATGTAAACAGAACTTTTATTTTGGATGCGATTAATGGTGATTAATCGTTTGACAGCACTAGTTTATAATATTGAGATTTTGTTGTTTGTTGAATTTAATTAACGCTGCCATGATTAGCTGCTCCAGACACTTTGAGCTCATCTGCTGGAAATCCACATAAAAAAACAGAACAATCATCTAATGCCATCAAATCTAAAACAAGCACATCATAACATATCAAATCATAACACATTCACAGATCACAGTTATACTCAGGAACAGACTATTTTGACACCTTCTAATAAATCATGCAACTACATTGTTGTGAATCCTACATGCAAGGATATGTTTCATACTGTTAAAACTTACACTATAAGAATATACAAAAAGAGTCATCCTTACAAATGTAATATGCTCTTATCACATTAATGTATAAAGATACAAATAGGAACACAGCAACACAGATAGGGTTGGCTTACGGAACTACACATGCAAAAACACAAGCCGGATTCTCTGCATGAAAGAACCACAGCTGACAACCTTTTACATGTTTTATCGGTGAAACAGTACAAAAGTAGTGTTCTGATATACAGTTAATATAATATTAAAGTTAAATAAAATATGTATACAATGTAATATATGTTATGTATATAAAATACTCAATGTTATGAGAGTTTGCCCTTAGCCATAACTATTTGTTCTGGAACAAGCAATAGATTAATGAGACCAGAGACTGCCCGTTAGATTAAGCAAATGCAAAACTGAATGCTTGCTGACACCCTGGAGCTCAAATCTCTACATATGCTGAAGCATATTTTCAAGTAGGCTTTATCTGTATTGAAAAGCTGCATTTTTTTGAAGTCTAAACAACTAAATTTTTAACTAAAAACTTTTAAAACTACATTCCATGACCCAGGTTTCTGCATCCACCATGACAGTCTCTGTGAGAAATACTGCAAGCATAGTGAAACAATCAGTGAAACGGTTCCTGTAGCGATAGTTTCCTGTAGCGATATTGGTGAATATCTCATGGTTGGAAAGACCTCTCAGCCAATCAGATTCAAGGACTAGAAAGAGCTGTTGTATATATATGTAATATTTAATCTATCCTACCTTTTTATGCAAATTATGTCTCTTTCCACATTCCAACTTCAACATAACTGTAATCCTTGGTACAGTCACATCTGAGCCTACTAGGGTGCTTTTTTAACACATTGGAAAGTCATAAATAAATAAATAAAAAATCTGTCCATTTGAGATCCCAATCTGACAGCTTTCTGGAAACACTTGAAAAAAAATAAAACAGAACCATTTGAACTTTTATATCTGTGCTGTGATGCATCATGGGATGTGGGAGAAACCAAACTAGAGGATAAAATTGAATTTTTGTTGATTTAAAATTTAATTACTTGAACAATGCACTAGTGGCTTTTAAATAATAATTTGTGGATTAATGCATGGACAGAAATTTTATAATCTTGAGATTTGGTTATGTAGTGAATGCAATTCCAGGTCACTTGCATCTCTGTAAATGGTTGTGTCCATGAGTATAAATGCTCACAAGCTGAAATTTCACAGGATTGTCAGTAAGATGGATGTTGGAGAGTGAGTAACTTGCTGGAGATTGAAATCATTCTGAGTGAGAAATATTTTTTTCTTGTACTTTATTCTTGTAATTATTTACCCTGCCTGTATAGTTGTTATTTTAATGGTACTAAAGCATGTAAGCCAGGGGTTGCCAACATCGGTGCTGAAGAGCCACAGACCTGCAGAGTTTAGATCCAACCCTAATCAAACACACCTGGACCTGCTAATCAAGTCTAGGGGTTTCTAGAAAGCTACAGGCAGGGGAGTTTTTGTCAAGGCAGGACTCTGCAGGACTGTGGTTCTTCAGGACTGATGTTGGCCACCCGTGATCTAACTAGTAGAAAGTTTTAGTTTAAATCAGTCAGGAGTTATTAATGAGCACTGTTGGAGGCATGCACAGTTTGAGTGTGTGACACGAATGTTAAGAGCTGCATCAAGAGGAGAGTATTCAGCATGTATTGTGAAGATATATTACCATAACTGTTTCTTTAGTTTATAATCTATCGATATTAAATTGCTTTGTCTGTACTGCCCCCACTATATTTGGAATGTACCATGTACAACTAAGTGTTTAGGTTTGAGGTGGACTTTTCCCCCCCCTCCATTTTAAGCTGAAAGGATTAAGTAGCATGGATGGTCCGTGGCATGTGGTGTATGCTTTGTTTCATATATTTATAGCAAAAGTTAAAGTGTCTCTTATGCGACTTAACCCTGCTTTTTGTCTTTCTTTAATTTCCTGTTTATTAGTCTAAATGCCTCTAAGACAGCATGGATATCACAGAGCATTTGTCTAGTCGCATTCCAAAAGAGCGTGACAAACTGTGGTTGAATACCATGCAGTGGACAGCCAGCAACAAATCTGTCTTCGTTACTGCTTTTCATCTCTGCCAGTCAGTGACGATGCAACATTTAAGGCTTTGGCAAATATTGGGTTCCAGGTAACACTGTAACTGTATTAGCCCTCTATGGACTCTTCTCCCATACTTCTCACTCAACTGGGCAGGTTAAGTATCATGCCATGACTTCCTAATCATGCCAAAATGCATTTCTTGATGCGGTCAATTCTTTTGACTTGGTGGCAGTTTGCAAGTTATGTGCAATTTAACCACTTACTGATATGATGCTGTAAGTATTGGTAGCTTCTCCACTTTAATTTTTCTTCCTTTACCATGTCTGGTCCTGCACCAACAGGTCGACTCCTGCAACACCCTCCAGTCTCTTGCTCTCAAATGGTATGCTTGACCCTTGGACCAAGGTAAAGTCTCTTGTCAACTGGTCTATCTTTGGAAGCAGCGTTTCCTTTCTGAAGAACACCTTGAATCTGTTGAAGCTCTTCAATGAGGGTGAATGTTATCTCACCATGTGACTTCAATACATCCCTGTTTACCAAATGCAGAAGTATAACTGCACCCATGGACCAACTGTGCAGCTGCTGGTTGGCTGTTAATGCTGACTTCACCTTTCCACTCAGACAAGGCACCACATTTGGTTTTGACATGGAGATCTGCACAACACCGCAACTCCCTCTGTGCTCCGATAGACTTTCACACTCCTCAACCACCTGAATTACTTTAAGCGCAGGCATTGTGGACCGTGAGTATGTGTGCTATAAATGCATACAGGCATGTGAGAGTACGCGAAGTCCATGTAGTTTTAGTGATTGAGATCTTGAGTTTCAGTTATTGTACAGACCTTTTGAACTGCTCTGATGTTTGTGTGTCTTTGGCTGTAACTTCAAAATGCAACAACCGAGATCAGCGTTCTGCTATCCTGTCTTTATGACAGCCCATTGGTGACTTGAATCCCTTGGTAAGTCTCTCTCTCTTCACAACTCAAAGTTCTTCTAGTCTTGTTCGACCTCAGGCGGCTCAGTTCTACAGCGACTCAAGCCAGACAACCAGCTGGACCTCAATGCACGTACAAAAAAGAAATGGGTGATTGTTACATGCAAGTAAAAACCAATATGCGTGCTTTTTTTTTTTTTTTTTTTTTTTTTTTTTTTTTTTTTTTTTTTTTTTTTTTTTTTTTTTTTTTAGGTTT